AACTACTGGCAGGTGGGATGTGGTGGCATCAAACTCTTGGTTTTTTATACTCATTTTCACTACACAGAAACCAGAAAAAAAAAAAATTGGATTTCCCCAAACCATTTAAAGTTATTTTTATACTACAGAAAAAGAATGTATGTATGCTTTAGTTACTAGACACTTATTCCGTACCTCAATTGCTAAGTCGGTACTGTGTTGCAGATGACCTCCAGCCTGGTCTATTTCTACTAAAATACTTCTCACCTCAGAAAATTGTTTCTCTACACAATATATTCCTTAGAATGCAACTTTTAATATAGTTTTAACATAGTAACACCATAGTAAGAACAGCAATTGCATTGAGTTACATGACAGAAGAACATCTCAAGGAACTTCAAGAACTGCAAGTTTTCCACAAGATCTCCTGAAAAGCCCAGCAGGGGTAAGGTGCATGAACCTGCCACTCCACATTGCACATCACAGCAGACACAAGAAGCAAGAGACAAAACCAACCTCTTTCTGACTGCAAGTTTTTGGCCAAAATTTGAGCAGTCCTCTGATTACCTATAGTAAAAATACAAAAAGTTAAAGCAGAACAAGTTTCTATTACATATTTGATAAGATTAAAAAGAAAGTACAGTTTGTTTTTCCTTATCCAGAGGTTCAACAAAAACTGAATACACCTAAATGTAGTTCCACTGAAAATAAATGCTGCCTTGTCTCATTTAAATATTCATTTTGTTTTCGTTACCAAAATAATTTAGACCCTGATCACTTCACGAGTCTTTGATTATCTGTTCACACTCTGCTCCCATATGCTAGTATATACATTAATTGATAGGATGCTGATAACATCAAAGCATCACAAAATGAAGTTAACTCCCCTGTAGCTAGATTTCCCAAAATATTTTTCTCTTCTAACTCATCCAGACTTTGGGAAGCACCTGTCTTGCTGACAAGGTTTGAAGCTCGAGAGCACTGACTGCTGACTGCACAAACAGGGCTAGAGAGAGGAGTCACGGCCTCCGCCACTTCCTTTTTTCTTCTAGAATTTGAAGTGTTAAAGATGGGAAACTTAAAAAAAAAAAAAAAAAAAAAAGAGGAGATGTGAATTTACAGAGTAAATATATTCCAGTATCTACATTGGAAACTATCTTATACAGGACTGGAAAAAACCCTTTGGGAAACTTAATTAGAAAGTACAGCCTCCAAGAGGAAGGGGTGACAGGTACAACAAGCAGAGGCTGGAGGCCTGTTGCCTAGAAACAAACATTGACATGGCATCTAAATTACAAAATTCATGCTGGCTAAAAAAAAAAAACCCACACAAAAAAACCAAAAATAACCAAAAAAACAAAACAGAAAAACACACCACAAAAAAAAACCAAACAAAAACTGTAACTGTATGTTTTGGAAGCAGAAACATTCTCCAAGCCTCATTAACTTTAATTCTGAGGAAAGGACCTCTATTTTTTATGGTACATCAGCACCTAATTGATCATATCCAACTGTAAAACTTCCTCAACTATTTGAATACCTTCCACAGTTTATTTTTGCCATGTTGATTTTTACTTCCAGCTTCCCAGCTGGCTGGTCTATTCACAACTATCTGTACTATCAAAAGGGACTTTCCAGAAAAAAAGTTAATATGATTTTAAGTGCCCACAAGTCTTTATCCTAGGATACACACATATCCTGCTACTACAAAACTGAATGTCACTTCGAATGACACTGAGCAATTGCAGAAACCTCAGGCAGCTGGTAAAGCCCTATGCTCAAATCCACAAGAAGAAAGCGCATTACATGGGAAGAGCAGATCCCTTCCAGATCCTCAACCAGTTCTACCCAGCTGGCTGAAAGCTAGGGACAGCTGAAATACTAACACCATCATCTGACACCTGGCGAAGGAGCAGGAGGCCTCCCCGGGTCAGCCCACACAGGTGACAATTTTGCAGCCTGGCACCCAGAGGCAGAGCTCCCTCCCTGACCTGGCCTCCTTCCCGCCTCCCAGGAGGAAGCAGAGGAGCTGCGGCAGACAGCACGGTGACAGGGAAAGAAATTTTGAGCTCCCCCATTTCCCTGCAGTTACCTCATCTGTCAGTCCTTCGCTCACCTGCTTCTCCTCCGCCCCTCAGGGAGTCTGATTTGCATGAATTAATTACACTTGTTTCTCTAGATTCACAATTTAAAGGATAATACACTTTAAATCTAGGGCCATTTGCTGTTAATTAGCTTGCAACTGAGTGACTTAGTTATATACCATTGAGATTTTATATCTTTAAAGAACAAACCGGAACATTTACAGGTATAATAGCTCATTCTGCTGACACCTTCCCTTCCCCCAGAACAATGCAAGTAAGCCAAAAAACTTCAGGCAATCACATTTGCCAAAGAAAGGCTGTGAGAACCTACCACACACCCCTAACTGGAGCATGAATTTACTGGCCTCAAAAGCATAAGATTGAGTTAGCTGGAAGAGTCCAGTTTCCCACACTTGTTATTGCTAGAGGGTTGAATATTCTTCACTACGCAGACTCATATTCTCAACTTGATAAAGAAATAACACCTTCCGAGTATAACTGTGCAGACCTCAGTAAGATACCTGTTCCTTGCTCCTCCGAGAGAATATCGGTTTCCAGCTTGACTATGCTTTCCTATTAAAAAGCCAATATGTGCACATTTACGTTCAAAGATTTTATTCAAAGAAATATTCAACATGAATGCTGATCTGAAATCCTGCTGCTCTTACTACACAAAACTCTTAAGACTAATAATTCTCCCTGAGCTACAAAATTCCCATAAAGTTGACTTACAACAGCAGGCACCTGCTAGAAAACACGTCTTGCAGACAAGGACTGCATGTTTAGCCCCATTTCTTCAATGTAAAGGCCATTGCCCTTAGCAGGGTTAGGTAACAAACTCTTCTTGTCAGTTCTGCAAACATCAGGGCTGACCTAAGGCAGACTACCATAGTTACAAGAGCTTGGATTGAACGTCCTCTAAATTGACCCTGAGTGACAATTCCTGCCAGAAAAATAACAGTAAGGTACTCGAAGACAGCCTTCTGATGGCGTTCTTAAAATATTACTTGACCTAAAGCAAAAAAACCCCTCCAAATGCTATCTCAGTTGCCCCCAAATCTTAACATTTACTTTTCAAGCTTTTCAGAAAGTTTCTTAAAGCTTCACTTCTTACCATCTTACTAACTTTTACTCCTTTATAAAGCCAATTTTACTACATGCTCCAGAGTAATGACCAAAGCAAGCGCAGGCAGCAACTCTGCAGTGAGTTCTTGTATTTTCTCCATGCCGAATTCATCTTTATTGTTTAAGAGACAACCAGAATTGTATACACTACAGTCCAGATGAAGTCTCAGAACTGCACTATGGCACTCCTGCTTCAAAAGCCCTGCCTTTTTCACTTCAAAGTTTGGATTTGGATCCTGCATCACGGTTCTGTAAATTCATATCAGGAAGTTCTGACTTTGTCACATTGTCACTTCATTCAATCTTGCAGGTCTTTATGTAATAGTACACGTTTTCTGCTCACATGTCAACTTTAACTGTCAAAATGCCTGGGCTGTTTTATTGCTTAGCTTAAGGAATAAGGCTTACACAATTCCTTTCTCCTCACCCTCTCCAACAAAATAAGGTTTATTGACCAGCATAGCTGGCAACACTGCAGTGCAGGGGGAAAGAAGGCGCTTCAAGCAGACAAGGCAAATGCGACAGTCAGGTCGACCACCTTCCACCACGTATGGAATAACTTGTCTTCTGATGAGGAACACCAATAATTAAAGTGGCCGTGCAGAAAACAAGCTTCCACTGAAAGACTGGTGAAGATCTATGTTGTTTCCACAAAGCTGTTTATCTTTTTTCTCTATAGAAAAAAAATTAGATTTTGCCTAAGCTCTTCATTTTTCTGTCACAAAAAGGGATACGGGATAAAGTATTTAAATATCAGCATAACCTTAACAGAAAGATTTCTGACTGTTCAACTAAAACCAGTTTCTGACAACCAAAACCAGCTGGTCTGACATCTGTCTGTGTCCCCATGAGCTGCTGCACCGCCGTGAGCCTACATTCTTCTTTATGGGCATCGCTGAAGCCCTTGCATGAAGCACTGCAAACCCCTTTTTAGCTGAGCTGTCAATACGTATCACGGGAGATTCAGTCTCAAAAGAGCCACTGATGCCTGAAGCACCTGTATTATAATGGCCAAGAGGCACCCCAGTAACTGAAGAGAGAACAGAAACATCGCATTTGGAATTTCAGAGTTCTTTCTGTCTAAATAAAGTGGTGGTGTTCTTCCTAACATTTATTTTGGGATTGTTTATTCCCTGAAATATTTCAACCTTATGCAGTGGCTAGGCACAAGCCAGCAGCACCAAAAATACTGAAGTTTTAGTTCTTATGAGGAGAGAATACAGTTGTTACAGGTTTTCTCACATGAGGTGGTTTGCATGATATCAGTGGTTCAAACTTTTACTTAAATTTGTGCTCTCTCTTGGTCAAAGGTTAGAGGTAACTGCACCTTCAAACCCTGAATTTTCTTAACAACTGCCCTAGGCTTAATTCCCCTGCCCCCCCCAATGAAGGCTATGAATCATTAATCAAAATAGCACAGATAGCACTGCTACACAATTCTAACAAGTTTCAGTGAAGTATTTCATTGAAATTAAAAATAGAAAAACATTCAACTGAAAAACACTTACAGGCTCTGTTAAAGTTGTATCTTTTTCCAGGAACTGTACAACACAATAGGCGAGCTAGAATGTAAGTCATATGATTATTTAGGTTAAACAGACAGTGTTTAGACATTGCAGCATAACTAAATATTACAACTTATAATGGAAGCACTTCAGATCGGGGAGGGGGGTGACAACAGACAGACAGATGAATGATGACCCAACCCAAAACACCCCTACACAGCCATTTTAAATTCTTCCAAACTAAACAAAACAGCAATTAAAGCAGCAAGATATACAGGCCTGCTCTATCTTACAAAAACTTCCTGCATACCAAAAATCATCTTTTTTTTTCATCCTAGGAGAAAATTACTTTTAAGCTTGACAGATATTTCCCTAACTCAGACCCACTATCCAGACAGATTTTTCTTAACATCAATTCCTTTATTAACAGTGCAAAGCTATCATTTTTAAACATCTAAACTGGGGTAAAAACATGATACTTTCAGTCAAAAAAAGAAATTCTAAACCAGGATTGACTGAGCACACATCGCTCACATACTAGACATCTGCAGCAAGCAATGTTCAGTGATAAGATTCAGGTGAAATAATTTTAACATATTACATGGCCACAAGAGACCAGGCAGCTTCTGTCCAGCCGAGCGTCCTGTCCCCAGCAGCATATGAATCGGGGGAAGCATAAGATGATGTGTGCTCCCCCAGCCTCTAGTGATTTCTGTCCAGGGGTCTTCTCAGGCCAGAGTGTGATATTATGTGTTATATACAATTACTTCTCATTTAGTTACTTAGCACATATAAGTAACTAAACTACCATACCTCTGCCCAGTACAGAAACCACACAATAACCCTATAACTACAGTAGTTACAATCCCAGATTCCATTAAGACTGATTTGAAGAAGTGACCATATTTTTCATCTCACAATATAAAAGGAAAGACAAAAATACCTACATGTAAAGCACATACATTTCAATACTTAGGATTCCTGAATTCAAGCATTACCTTCCTTTTTTTTTTTTTTTAAATCTGTTATCCCAAAGCAGATAATTACAATGCTGTAATTACAACATGTCTAATTTATTTCTTTCACCCTTAGGCTAGGGATGCATATGTGTAGATTCAAAAAATAATGAATGTCACACATTAATCTCCTAAAATCCCATTATATGTATTGTACAGTAATGCTTTATTGTTCAAAGACACAAAGACTCAAACTTAATTCAGCTTTAAGGGTTTAACTTTTAAGGGTAGGCTAAACTTGTACTGTAGCAACAAAGCAACCAGGCCACTCCTGATGGCAAAGCAGATTTAATGCTGGTTTACACCTTCAGGATAATATGAAACCAGAAACATAGTGCTGAAACTGCACATGGTTTACGAAGGGATACTCGAGTAGCCTGGTCAAACAACCAAATGGTACTTTCAAGTACACAGTACACCTGAATTAGTAGGACCCTTTCACGTATCGATGAAGAGGGGACTCTTTAGCCTGGAGAAGAGAAGGCTGAGGGGAGCCCTTATTATGGCACACGAGTATCTAAAGGGTGGGTTGAAGGAGGATGGAGCCAGACTCTTTTCAGTGGTTCCCAGTGACAGGACGAGGGGCACTGGGCACAAGTTGGAACATAGGAAGTTCCATTCAAATACACGGAAAAACTTCTTTACAGTTCGGGTGACAGAGCACTGGCACAGGCTGCCCAGGGAGGGTGTGGAGTCTCCTTCTCTGGAGATTTTCAAAACCCGCCTGGATGCAGTCCTGAGTAATGTGCTCTGGGCAATCCTGCTTTAGCAGGGGAGTTGGGCTAGATGATCTCTAGAGGTCCCTTCCAACTCTGAAGATTCCGTGATTCCGTGAAGAGAATTAAACACATCATAGAAAAAAAGATAGCTTGCTGTTCTGATCTACCAGTGAGAATACCTTCGGCAAGAGACTGGTCCCTTTCATATCACTGACTCATTCCATGGAACAGCCTACTGGTATTGTGGTATAATAAACCACAAAGATAAGAGATTTCATGAAATTAAAACTTTATATGAGAATTAGGAATTAACTGAGCTCTTGACTTGATCCTGTTTGTAGGCCATATATTCATAATGATTTCACTTTAATTAGAAACTCATTTCCTTGTGTCTTTGGTCTGTAAGGAGCTGTATTAGCGAGCTGACTAAGTTAACAAAGCAAGTTTTTAATTAGCAACAGCAGAATTACTTGCACTCGAGTATTGAATACATTTGATGCAAACTTGCCATATGTCTGGAAAGGATATGCATTATTCCTCAAATAAAATGCTGAATGTCTGTGCAAAGTATAAGAATGGAAGTCAAATGAAGAACTAAAGCATTCTGACAGCGTGTCACAGATCTACATAATTTCTAGCTGATCCAGAGAGCTACTACACATTTCTGCCATTTATATCCAACATTCTCCTCCCCTCCCCATGACTGGAATAGTTTTAGAAATAAAAAAGCACTTCTGAAATAAGTACCTGGCCATACTCAAGGTTCATTTATAGACAGCATTTAGGTTACATAAAGGAAGTGACAACAGAAAAAGGTCCTGGGATTTAATGAAGCTTAAAGTGTGACAAGACTAGCAAGCCAAAAAGCTTCCGACTTCAATTGACATGATTCTGACTCACCGTTATAGCCTTTCACTTTAATATATGCTAAATATTATCTGAAAAATTAACACTGAGACATAAGATCTTACAGGTCTTTTTGAATTTACAAATATTTTTGAATACTGATATTATAACACATACTGCTTTATATTTCATTAGTTTCAAATACAAATACAAAAAACCCCACCACTCAAAAATAGGCAAAAGCTTACCTGTGCATGAAACAAAGCTAATCCCTTTGCAGTATGCATGGGAATCAGAACTTTCATAAGGAACTGTTTGTGTTCTGCTTTCAGTGGCAGTGCAAAACCATTGATAATACTGAAAACATGAATAAGCAGGATTTATTTTTATTAAAAAATAATTTTTTCCTAGCAAGTCAAGAATTTCTGTAAATTAAAGAGATACTCCATTCCCGATTCCATTTCTAAACCCGATTATTTAAGCCATAAAATAGCTCTACATATGCACAACCGTTGAATTGTTGGTATCATGCAAATTTAGACTCTTGGCAGGAATACCAGAGAGCTGTAGTAAAAGTCAAATAATACTCATTAGACAAACTAAATTATTTTTATTGAGACTTCCATTAAGTAAAATCATCTGCAGTAAGTCTTGCTGTCTAACGGTAAAGCTTAGACAGATGCATCAGGAAGCTGATCCATTTCACCCACAATCACTAGCAACTTGCAGAGAAAAAAAAAATAGATGGCATGAAATTCTGCACTAACAGTGCGGTTTAAACAGTTGTTGAACAAACTTACCTGCCAAAAACAGTTAAAAACTTGTCTCATTGATTCAATAACCTTATTTCTAAGATTTGATGAGTTGTAGAAAAAACAAAAGCCCTTCAGGAAGGTGTCGTTCCCCCCCTCCCCCTTTTAAAGAAATCTGAGAAAATAATGGCATCACTTCCACTTGGTTTTCCTGAAAATTTGTTCCACAATAGTTTCACAATGTTTGGCTTTTCAGTTAGACCTGTAATATTTATAAAGTTTTCTACTGTGAAATATATGTGACAGTTTTGGAAAAAACAGTAAAATACTATCAGAAACAACTTCAAAGTTAAAAATTAAATTAGTGAAATAATGTCAAAAAAGATAACTAAAAACCTCTAGCACTTACAAGGCTTTCCTGAATAGAATTTAAAGAAAACCAGCCTCCTGAAGATTAAAGCACTTCATTCAGCATCAGGGCAAAAGTTAACATTCATTTTCTGAATCAAAGAACAAGTCATCTATCAGACATAAGATAAGCAAGAGTAGATAGTCCTAACAAACAAGGACCCTTGAGAAATATTTTGCCAGTCATCTTTAAACCTTGCACTGAAAAAGAATAATTTATACTCTACATCCTAATTTGATATTCACATGGTAACCCCGACAGTATTAGATTATATCAGGGACTGCACTTCATCGCTCGTTACTGTAATAATTCTATTCCCCCCCTCCATTCCCAAAGCAAGAAAGCTGAAGCAAACACCCACAATACCATTTTATATTTTTTTCTGTGTCAGATCAAACTTACCTTCCTAATATTTCAAGAAGTTCAGCAACACCATTGAAGTGCTCCGTTTCATATATAAACCTGTTACAAAATAGACAACCATCAAAAATCAAAACAAAGGATCAGAGATTCCAAAGAAATGACCTTTAATAAGCTTCAAATACTTGAAAACCAGATCACAGACCAAAACCAGGTCTTTTATTTGAAGAAAAATTACCGCAGACCCAGACCACAAAGGCAAGATAAAATATTCCTCAACCTAGTCACGCACACACACACACACACACAGCATACCTGAGGAAAATGTTGTTAATTTGTTTCCTGATGAATGCTCTTAAACCAAGGAATTTTCCATAAATTCGATGAAGAACTGTCTTTAGGAAATCACGTTCTCGTGGGTCTTCACTATCAAAGAGCTCCAACAACTTTAAAAATTAAATTGAAATGTATTACTTTTGAAAGACTTAAATTTTGTCATGTTACTGATTGGAGTTTTATCTTTAATTTATGAGGTTACACTAGAAAAATCAGAATCAGTTTAACTGAGAAGTTTTGTTTGTATGTCAATATTTTATTTTCAGAATTAGATTTTTAATAAAACTGTTTTGTTTTTTTTTTTAATAAACCCAGTAGCTTCATTCCCTTCAAAAGTCTGGATACAACAGACATCAAAGCCATTCCAACAACTGTTATGCTATCAAAATAAAAATGAAATTGTAAGAATGAGATTATCAAACCTTAGGTAAGTGGTTTACACTTGATCCTTAAGAAATCAGAATGAATCAAATCTGTTTCACTTATTTACAATTTCTTAATTAAAATCCTGTACTACTCATCTCAAAAAGCTACTCGTGTCTTGAAGGTTAAGCAAAAGCATAATTCTTTGCAGAATCATTTTGCAGGATAAGTGGATGATAAGACTCATGCGCATTTCCTCAGGGGCAGAAGAGGGAGAGATACATTTAACAGAATGATAATGCATTTAAAAATGAGCTGTTAGGGGAGGGGGAGAACAGTCACTACAAGCAGAAGTTGGTTCATTTCTGTCCAAATCTACTATCAATATTCTCTGCCCGCCCCCCTTTTTAAAAAAAAAAACAAACAAAACCAAAAAAAAACAAAAAAACCCACAAAACAAAAAAATATAAAATAAGCATAAGATATACATTATTAACTGATTCTCTACTAATACAGCCTAAATGCCACAATAAGCTAGCAGGATTTTCCACGCATTTTTTTCTTGTATAGAATTTTCCAGGGATACAGAAAAGACCTTACTCACTTGAAGACAGCAAAAGATACTCCAATCCCATTACAGACCATTATTTTAGGGTTGGTTTTTTGTTTGGTGGGGTTTTTTTTTGGTTTTTGGGTTTGTTTTTTTTTTATGCCCAAGTGAGAGCATATCCAGAAATGCTGTTTGTGCTAAACAAATTAGTAACTTAGCTCAAGCAGCCACTACAGTCTCCTGCTCAGTCCAGGTCTGCAAGCTTAGGTATGTCTACACCAAGCAGGGTAAGGGACTGGAAAGAGCTGTTCAGGAACTTCGTTCAGACTAATTTAATTTTTATATTTAGAAGGAATTTCTCAGGGTCACTACTCCACTTTTTTCCATATATAGCTAGCTGTTCATTGCATCGTCTTTCTTGTACTCTGGAGAAAGATCAAGTGAAATGTCAGGAATTGAAACTCTGCAACACGGGGAAGAACCACGGGGCAATTAGTAAATTGAATACCCACGGCCACTAGTTCAGCAGCGCTTTCAGGCCTAAATTTTGTGGGAAAGTCGAATAAAAACAGAGAAGAAGGAAACACTTATAAACAAGAAAGAACTGTAAAACCAAACAGTGGAAATTAAATGCAGTCATTGAAGGCAGGGAGGGAAATTGTCCATCCATGTTTTTACTTCTCATTGCTGTACTGTGACGGCCTGCCAGCACTCGCTCTTCAGACACTGAGCTTTTCCCTGACAGACAAGTATTTTGACATGGTAAAAAATATCCCCACTGAGTTAACCTTGGACAAAGTTTGTTATTGTATTCTACAGTCCAATTCCTTAAGAAGTTATATTTAAAATGAAATCTCACTTCACTTCCTTGCTCATAGTTACTTTTCATGGTGAAGAATGATTTTCCTATGTACTTTCTTACTTGATTCTCTTTCTGTGGTTAACACAGGATAATAAAGAGAATGATGCTACCTAGTCACAAGTTAGGAGATGTTGGAACACATTTCACATGCAATAAGTACATGAGCTTTTTACAAGAAAAAAAAATTTGCTGGAAGTCTTCCCATGATAAATCCATGAAGAAAAAAAAATAAACATAAAACCACTACATTTAATCAGCACATTGTTGATATGACTGGAAGTAAGTTACAAATCACTACAAACACAACTTGTATTTACAAATTACAAATAACTTGCATTGCAAAGCACTGAGGTTGATATCTGAAAACAACATGTTTCTGAAGTTATTAATTATGTACAGCCTGTGCAGTACGATGTGCTGGTTTAGTGTTTGGCAGAAACCACTGTTGGATGAACTAAAATTTAACCCTCTGTCAACATGAAAGCTTTAGTATCTCCTTAGCTGTACAGTCATCCGATAAGTTAAGCTTGAGAGGTGATTTTTAAATCTGGGGATGTGAAAACTCTGTACTTACCTGCTGTACAAATTTCTGGTCAATATATCGCTTTGCAATGCTAGGCTGGAAATCTGGGCTCTCCAAAAACCTCAGGAAAAATTCATACACCAACTACAAACATCAAAATGAAAACTTTGGAGTTAGTAAGTACACCATAACACAGATCTCAGCCCTGCCACCACCAAAGTCAGTGGGACTGTTCCCATGCTTAAAAGGTACAAAAGGAAACTGAAGCCTAACACATCACAGCTTAATCACAGCCTCTACCGGAATTTACTGAAAGGATTACAGTAAGTATCAAGAACACTTTAATTCCCAGAAGAGTCAAAGCTTAATAAATAATCTACTGAAAATATCACTATTAGACAAAAAACAACCTGAAAGTATTACATATTCTCACATTTCCTACTAGATTAAGAAATTATTATGCAGAAATAAGTTACTGAACAATTAGCACTAAGGGTAAAATTAAGTGCTCTAACATTGCATAATTCCGTAAACAGATGAAGAAATTCTGCTGAATGTTCTTGAAATTGAGTTTCAGCAGCAAACTCTAAAAATTAAAACTCAGATTAAAAAGCTGATTGAATACACAGAAACTTAAGAGTTCATCTTAAGATTAGGTTTCTATATCCTGGACACTCAAATTCAAACAACAGGACCTTCTGCAGCTTTATCTTCAGCATCCTTTGTATTTTGTAGTATATTATTTCTATTGAGTTCAAGTCCCCATTCGCGATGATCCCACAATGCCTACAGATGGAAAACCAGACAGGAGATAGAGCTAGCGAGGGCCTGAGGTAGCGGAGGGAGGCATGAAGAAGCCAGAGCAAAAGTCCCATATTTGGGGGTTCATCAGAAGTTCAAGACAGAAAATACTGTACTTCCATAACAATGGCAGATTTATAAAATACACATCTCTTAACTACAACAGAATTGAGAGGAAAGATGTCTTACATTTAAATCATTCAGGGCTGCTTATGTTCTCAATGCCTATTTCTTAACTCCATGTTAGTTAAACAGCTGATTAGTAATAAGACTAAAATGCAATTTAGATACATAAAGACATCACTGACTGGACTTCCAAATAAAACCTACACAGGGCTGTGGTCACACTCACAGGCATGTATTTCAACTATTACCACTAAGAGTACTTATTAAACTCTGAATAATGCATAGTTATCATTATGAAGTTCACTCAAGAGAAATGCTTGACAATGAGTACTTTTCATCTAGAAGATGTGAGGTGACAGTTACTTACACATAGCCTCAAGTAGGGTATGCTGTATCTGCAAAGCAGGAGCTCAGAAACACAAGCTCCCCTTAACTTGCTTCTGCTCTGACAGACTATAACAAGAGCTTTTCATATCAGCAGTTCAAACGTACCCAAATTTCATGTAACAGAACTGTATTAAACCCCAGGCTTCCCTGTACAGCCTTAATTTGTCTTCTTGGGCATAAACACAATAGCACACAATTGCATAACAGACAACATAGGACAGAATTTTTAAAAGCTTAGTAATAGACAACCTAATAATATAATTTTAAACATTACCACACTCCATCCTCTGTCTTAGGAAGAGATCAACCATGGCTGTTTAATATCTTCACCAATGACACAGACCATGGGATCAAGTGTACCCTCAGCAAGTCTGCAGATGACACCGAGCTGAGCGGTGCAGTTGACACACCTGAGGGATGGGATGCCATCCAGAGGGACCTGGACAGACTCGAGAATTGGGCCCATATGAACCTCATGAGGTTCAACAAGGCCAAGTGCAAGGTCCTGCACCTGGGTCAGGGCAACCCCCAGTATCAAGACAGGTGATGCTACAAAATTGGAAGCTACCAGCTGGGGGGTGGGGGGTAGAGTATGCCAGGTTATCTATAAGAAAGGGCAAGTTGATCCTCAAGGCCTGGAGTAATAGATACAGGATGAAACTCAAGGATTGCGAAGTCACAGTTAGGGATCCAAGAAAAAGCTCTGCTAAGCACTTGCAAGCCTTTAAGCTGAGAAAGGAAGGGATGCCGATTCTGAATACTGGTTAACCGTAGTATGACTAAGATCCATCTACACAATGAAGCCATGGAAGCAACCTATGAAATCCTGGGATATTCCAGGAAGATACTGACAGTAGAGAGATGCACAGTCCTACACATGCCTGAGGAAATTAATTCAAACCTGCAAGTATACAGAGAAGGCATCACTACAGTCGTCATCAATAGAGCACCTTTTATGAGTGAAGACTAAATTGGCATGCTTTGTCTACCCTAAAGGACAGGGGGAGGAAGGACAATTATGGCTTCTTTCCATAAATAGATACGGGGACTGCAATAAACATCAAGCAGAAGAACTAAGTTAAAGCATAATGCCGTAACACCTTGGTACACGCTGTCCAAGATTAAGTTTAGGATATTGATTAGGGCCAAAACCAAGGTACATCTCATCTATAAAATATAACAAGTCAATATTAACGCAAGGTTCTCAATATATGACAACAAATTAATCAGTTATGTGTCTCATTTCTGATAGAGGGAGAACATGCATTAGTAACCATTTGAATGCTTTCGTATAAACACATGCAATTCCAGAACCACAATTGTTGCTATTGTTCTAAAAGAGCTTTCAGAAAAACAAAATTAAGTGTTCAAAAATCTCGTTTCTGAGCTGTATCATAGGGAAGTTCTGTGCACTGAAGGAATACTTATGCAGTTCTGATGCTTACAGAATTGTCTAGCTTCCTGATAATTAGTACCACTGCTCCTAGAACATGTATAACTGGTAAAAGGTATCAAGTAACTTTGAAAATCCTTGGGAGCCTTGGGAAATCCATGAAGCTTTATCCAAGACATTTTAGGAAGCAAACTGCAGTGGCGATTTCTGGATAGACAGCCTCTCCCTTCTCCTATATGCTAACATTTACAAACTTAGCACAACAACTATCAACTAAGGGGACACAAATGGATTCTACCCACATCACATGCTGGCTGCTCTTGCTTTAAAAAAATAAAAAAAAAAAAGAAAGTTTGAGTTTAACAGAAATATTACCATTGGAAATACTTGATTGGGGGAGAACTGTTGGATTTAGTTGTTTTGGTTCTCAAAATTGGTCTGCTTGGGTCAAGTGGCTACGAAATGTAACTCCTATTAATTTGGTGATTCAATCCTCTTTCTTGCAGAGACTACTAGATTATTGCTGCTTGAAGCTAACAATTCCACCAACTATCGTAAGTTCCAAAATACACTGTAGCATTAACGCCAACCTGTTCAACCTAGTTTGGCTGTTACAAACCATCTTGAGTATTGCTTTAAAGCAACGTCTTTCAAGTGACACTCATTTTACTGAAGGTCTAGAGTCTTTTGTTGTGACTACACACACTTGTAACTTACTAAACCACTATCATGTTATTTTATAGAGAAATGCCAACAGATTCAACTAGAGAAGAGTAGACATTCAGACCTTTTTCTTTTCCCTCCCAGAAAACAGGCTACTTGACTGCCAGATCAGGATAGAATTCTGAATTTGTTTGTAATTGAGCAATCACAAGTCATAGCCAGCAAAACACACCCACCCACCCAGCAGTTCTTTAGACTATACCAAAAGTAATAATGGGTTTTGAGGGGGGGGCCGGGCAGGAGAGGATGGGTGTGTACACCCCCTTCCTCCATACACAAAATTTGATACTTCCAGCAGGTTTGTGCTCCTAGAAGGCAATTGGTGAGTTATCAAACTGAGTCTTCTACCATCCATTAGCACATGAACTGTAAAACGAAGGAGAGGAAAACACAAACTGTTTCCATTGTGCTGCACTGAGCAATCTACTCCAAGGACAGGATGAACAACTGATGCAGGGGAAGGAAATTGCAATCAATGATCAGACAGTCTGGCCAAAATTCATTTAGAAAAGGGCAAAGGAAAAAGCTCTTTCAATTTATCTTAGACAGGCCTAAAGCCCAAGTGAACTGGTCACAGAAACCACAAGTCTTTTTATAGAAAAAACCTATAGTTACGAATTAAAGTGAACTGAGCAAACATTTACAAATTTTACTCCTGAGAGACAGTGGCATTTTGAAGTCAGATGCCACTACTGAATATAAGAGACATTTGTATAACCCTCACACCATCCTACCACTCCAAAATCTATCCTTTCATCTAGTTCGGTTATAGCCATTTCTCCTATGAATTAGGATCAGCTACATATAAGATAATAACCATCACAGCCTTCAGTCTGCAAAGTTATTTTTTGTGAGAACTTGCTTCTTACTTGGTTTAAGTCTCAAATACTATCCTGAACATGTACTTTTTATAGCTAATATTAGAAGTCCAGTTTTTAAATAGAAGCATTTGTTGATACATTAGAACTGTAATATTATAAGGACAGAGTAGCATTTTAACTCCCTGAAGAGAGGGAAGAGAATGGTATGCAGATGTGTAGTAGCTATTAATCTTCTACCAGACTGCTACCTGGATAGAAGTTGCTACGCGACTTATTTAACAGATACTCATTGTTTAAATTTGGCAATTGTGCTGGTTTTGGCTGGGACAGTTAAATGTCTTCATAGTCGCTAATATGGGGCTATGCTTTGGATTTGTGCTGAAAACAGTGTTGATAATATAGGGATGCTTTCGTTACTGCTGAGCAGTGCGTACACAGAGTCAAGGCCTTTTCTGCTCCTCACACCGCCCCGCCAGCGAGCAGGCTGGGGGGCACAAGAAGCTGGGAGGGGACACAGCTGGGACAGCTGTCCCCAGCTGACCAAAGAGATATCCCATACCCTGTGACAGCATCCCCAGCATACAAAGCTGGGGGGAGAAGAAGGAAGGGGGAGATGTTCGGAGTTACAGCATTTGTCTTCCCAAGTAAACTGCTTTCCTGAAGGTGGCTGAACACACCTGCCTGCTGATGGGAAGCAGTGAATGAATTCATTTTTTGCTTTGCTTGAGTGCATGGCTTTTGCTTTACCGATTAAACTGTCTTTATCTCAACCTACAAATTTTCTCACTTTAACCCTTCCAATTCTCCCCCCAATACCACCACAGGGAGTGAGCAAGTGGCTGCATGGCGCTTAGTTGCTGTCTGGGGTTAAACCGCAACAGGCAATGAACTACCTGAGATATGAACTTTGATGATTATAAGTGATTTAGGTTTGTTCAACTTTTAACAGTTAATTGAAAAAAATAAAATTCAGCAGTATTGCAAGTCAATCATGTGATTGATCCAGCAATGCCACAAAAATCATGAGATTGGGACAGGAGTGCAACAATAGAATAACTAACCAACTGTTACCAAACAACAACGCCTATATTGTAAAGTTTTTGCATTGAAGAAGGGAGGGAAAAAGGTGAATGAGGAGATATCTATTTCTTGCTCAAAAGACAAATAAAGGCTATTGCTTCATTTTTGTTACTGTCACAAGAAACCGAACATCCACTTGTATTTTACTGAAATTGCACAAAAAAGCTGCTGAAGTGCAGAAAATAAACCTCATAAGTAAAGAGCGTAATTACCTGAAATAGCCATATATTTTAAAGACATACATATACCACATTTTAACAGTGCAATCACTCAGTTAAAGAAAAAAACAAAACCAATGTTTTTTAAGCAATTTGGAAGACTTAAATTCTGTCATATTTATACATGTAGAGAAAAGCACCACTTTGTTTCCCTCCCAAGTATAGAAACTCAATTGTATTATAAAACGAATTTTGACATTCTCACCAAAGTCACAATATGATTCAAGTATCCATTCACAGTTTTTGCCTTACAAGAGGGCTTAAAAATAAAGGAATTGTATACCTGTATGTGGGGCCATGAGGCTTCAAGAGTTGGTTCATCTTCTTCTGGATCAAAATCCGGGTTATCACTAGGTGGAAGTGTTCTGAAAATATTAGAACTAATCTGCAAGAGAAAAAAAAAAATGTTTAATTGTACCACTTTTTATGCTTCCACAGACCACAGTCAGCAAGGTACTGCTTTTATCCTAAAATTACATGAAACAAAAACAGCTTAAAAAAAATTAAACCTATTCTTTAGATAAAAAACAGCCAAAAGTCTGAAACAGGTCAATGAAAATAAGAAGTAACCCTTGTCCCAACTGTTTTACAAGTTTGTGGCTAGACATGGTCATATTTAAAATTTTTCTCTAAACCCATGAAAGTTAAAAGAAAATTTCACTTTCCCCTAATAAAGACCAATTTTTAACTATGTGACACTGAGAGCTGAGGTTTTTTATATAAGACATCAAAAACAGTATGACTAACCAATTATGACTTAAACAGAGCTCTCTTCATGTGTAAGGCAGACAATCCCAAAATATATCTAATTTCAGTTCTTCACTTTACTTAATTTCAAAGTATTTCTTACTTTCAAGTCAGAACTGAAGAACTGTTTACAATTTTTCACCTTTCATAATCTTAAGATGTTTCAAGGTTTTGGGAAGTCAGAAATACATAACAATTGTAATTTTTTATTTAACAGAGTAACTTTGAAAAAAATAAGAAAAATAGCTACCTAGTTGCTTTAAGTATGACATAATCATATCAAATCAATTTCAAAAGGACAACTTTAAAAAGGTTTCTTCAGGGATTTTTGAAGTATATAGAAGTCTGGATAGAAGACCAATCTTTCAGATGTCAAAAAAAAAAAGTCATCTCTTCTGCCAGACGTAACATACTGGATTTTAGATCTCTAACATGAACAAAAGAGAACATGGAGTTAATTTCATTTCTACATTTTCTACTGTTTTTTCAGGGACACGTTTAGCCCAACTTTTCCAATCATCTTTCAAATTCTTTAGTCTTTTTGATCAAATCTGTTTCAAAGAGCTGCTAACCACCCAAGCCTACTAAACACAAAAGAAAGAACCTTTGACAGTTTGCAGCAAATGCTACTCCACGGAGTCTCCAAGGTGTTTGAAGAATCTTACAAAAAGGACTTTAAAAGATCCTGAAGTCACCCAGCTGGCTCTGCATAGAAGAATCAGCTGCCTCATTAAACAAGATATAAAGCTATTGCATGAAATGGCTTTCCTTTCCTCCTATACGCTTCATTCTACAATTTGTCACTGTCTCCTATTGGTACACAGTAAAGCTGCAGACGCTGCTGCTCTAGAGTAGAAGGGCAATGATGCTCTGTATGGATGGGCACTACAGCAGTCTCCTAGTTTACTGCACAGCAGAAAAACAAAACAAAACAGTACAGTTGCTCTTTAAGGTTGTCAACACAAGGGAGCACAAGAGAAACTGGCTGGGGGAAAAGGAAGGGGAAATAGGAGTCAGAGAGTATGAATTTTAATCAAGCCCAAAAAACAAAACTACAATCTTGGTTCTGTTATTTGATATTGTCTACTCTTATTAGGTATTCAAGAAAAACATCCAACATACAAATCAGTCCCCTACAGAGACTTCCCTACCTCTGCTTGCAAGTCCTCTAGTAATGTCTCTTGAAAATGCATGCTTTTATTTCTAGATGCATCTTGCTGAACTGAACCAGTCAACCCATTAGCACAGAACACAAAAGTTAAGTCCAGAACAAAGGTTACCAGTTACTAAACATACTTCTATAGCAGAAACAAATAGCAAGCATCTCGCCAGATCTTTAGGAAACTAATTTTATGATTTTCAGAGTATTCAGCACTTCTACTAGCATTACTGGTCTCCTCAGAACATATGAAACTTAGAACAAATGGTGTACCCATTTTTATGTACTAGCCCATCTCGCCAAATAACTGGTTCACTTTATGATGTTTCAAATACTTTTGCTTCCTGTCTCATTTGCTTCTTTCTAATGTATTGCTAATAGTATCAATGAAAAAGGTAGTTTGGGCTAAAGCCATCATTTTTGATATGGGCAAATTCTTCTCTATATCCTTGCACATTATTTAAAACATCCCTTTTCCTTCGTAAGTGACATCTCACCCCAAAACTGTGATTTGAGAAATACAAATCATAAAAGGCTTTTACAGCTGCACAGGTTTCCAGAGAAACCCAGCATTATCTTTCTAAATTAAATCTCAAAGTTTTTGAAAGTGACATCTGAAAATGTGCCAGTTAAGGTATTAAGATACAGCAATTATATTTTACTAAAACAAAAAAGGAAGAAGAAGAAAGGGAAAAAAAGAAGTCCCTTATGGTCTGTAAACTTCACGAGGAGCTAAGCATTGGGAGATACTAGATTTAATTCCGATTTCTGAGTGTGCAGACAGGGATACCCGATGTTTTTTGAAATTCTGAATTCACAGCTTGTGCAAGCTGCTAGGACAATCTCATTTGCATTGGATTTTTATATGAGGGAATGAGGGGAGGTTGGCAGGGACAAGGAGATGGAGGGGTAATGTGTACCAGAGGGACATTTCTGTTATGCTCCCAAACCTGATTAAGGATAGAGCTTTCTAACTTCCCAGGAAGTTTTGAAACTTAAAATATTCACAATGCCAAACCCTAATTTGCTGTTAGCTTCAGAGTACTTTCAATTGTGAATTTCCAGACAGAGAAGACACTAATTTTAGATGAACTAGAAAGGAGGTGCACAGACCACTGTGCTACCCCTTCAAAACTACTTGTAAACAAAACTCTTCCTCAGTTCTTAATTCAAGGGCTTTGGCAAAGGAATTATAGGAAAAATAGGTTGCCTAGGACACCAAAAAGCGTATATCCTGCGCATCTGCCTAAACAAAAAGATTTTTTATTTTTTTTAATATTGTTCCATCGTTGGTGGCTTGAAAAGACATTTGTATCATTTCATCTGGTGCTCCCTACCTCAGGATCCAAGCAGAGCAGGGACAACTACACGAGCCACTATTGTCCAGTACTGGCCTAGCAGCTATCGCGGTAACAAAGACCATGTGAAGGGACGGAATGCTAGGAGACCTCCTCACCTGCCCAGGCCTTGCCTATGAACTGCTCAGCAACAACTTTTTTTTTTTTTTTCCCTCCCCTCTTGATATCTGTAAGGCATTGTTGACTTTGCCTCCCCAAGACTCAGGGGACTCCAAGGAAATTGGGCTGATTCCTCTGCAAGCTTGAGGAAAACAATTCCAGGCCTAGGGAAAGAAAAGGGGCTTTGGAAAGAAGTTAGCTCTGCTTCTACTACTAATGCTACTCTTGCTTTTTTCAGGGAATTTTTGTAGTCTCTTCATCCTTTACTACCAGTTAGATGACAGCTGGGTTTCATTAAGGCCAATTTCTACTTTTTCATCCCCAAAACACTATCCTGCAAACTCTGCAAAATGCTCAAATGCTTTTCCTTTTAATGTAGTAACACTGAACAGTCTTTAAAAAAAAAAAAAATTTTTTTAAACCTCAAAGTTTTGCTACAAAGAAAGGCCTCAAGCCTGACACACGTGCTGTTTGGAGGGAGAGATCTACCCAGAGTTCTTTCTGAAAGCTGGTACTTAGTCCTAATTCACAGCAAAGACCTTTGCTGCTGCCAGTTGCCAGGGAGACTAGAAATACTATTCAGGTTTGGACAGACCTTTTGTCTCAAGCTCTGAAAAAGCTCTCACTGAGCATTTAAGGCCTTCTTCATTTTCTGTCATTTTAGGGGAGAAAAGGAGATGGAAATTTGTTATGGAAGGAAAACCAAGCACCCACAGAGCCCAATCATTTGCACAACAACAATAACCTCAAACAAACAGCTCAACACCACCTTATCTCCAAGAAAAGAAAACAACTCCAATATAAAAGAAAATCTCCTTTCAACAAGTATGATAGGCTAGTTAGTATACTCTTTCTTTCTTCTAACAAGAGGCTATAGAGGGCACACAAAGTAAGAAAATAGTGCAAGGATTCAGGCTTGCTGCCACCAGCAGCAGAAAAAAAAAGCCAAAGAAGAAGTGGACATACTCTGTCCTTTATTTTCCTGTGTAAAAAACATTTAGAACAGAAACACAGGTCCTTTAAAAAACAAACCCCAGTGTCCTAGATCTTTTGTAAAACTTAATAAGCATATGGTGAAACAGCCAAAATGATTAAAAGGGTTTCAATAATCCTAGCCCTACAGTATAATGTCAAAATTCTATGCTTATTTATATTAAGCATCTGATCTTCCATATCAGCTGCTCACAAAAAAAAAAAAAACAAACAAAACCCACTAAACAAAAACCAAAACCTTAAGAAAAAATAGCATGCACTGTATAGAAGACTACAGAAGCCATAGGACATATATTTGAACTGGTCTGCTTACGTTTCCAATAGCTACTTTTAAAGTCAGCATTTTGCCTGTTTAAACTTAACCAAAGATTAGAAAACCATTAGCCTAAATGTACAGACGCTAAACGCACTATTTTTACATTTCAAAAGTCTAGAAAAAACAATTTAAGAGTATTTCAGATTATTGTCAGATGTCCTTCAGTTACATTCACTGTACACGGAGTACAGGCATATCCAAAATATCACTTACACAGCATTTGAAAATGCATATAAAAAACCTGGGAAAGTCAGCACACAATGACCACAAATATTTAGTTGCTTATTCAACAAGCCATTTGTAGAAATTGCACAGTACAAGTCATCCTGTGGTTGACAACTCAAGCAAACCACTTAAGACTACTCTAGCACAGCTCTCCGAGGCCAAAACAGTAACAAACAGCCATAAAAAGTATTTACAAAGTAGAGTTGCTTTCTTACACTGATAAACCTTTCTGTTGACACTAGTACCCACAAGAATCTTTACCAGAAAACTGTAGCCTGTCACTTCACTGCCATTCTTAAATAAAGACAGGCAGCACTGAAATATTTCAATTTCCTGAATGAGAACAACTTCAAAGCTTACCCAGACTGCAAGCATCTGCAATATACCAGTTTTTTCATTTTAATTAACCTGAACACATCATATTTCAACTAATAATTAAAACTTACAAGTTGTTTGTTTTTACAAGCCTTTCTAAGCAATCTTGTAAGCCAAGTTATCATTAACGAATTATATTTTATAAGCAGAATAACCAAGAGCAATTGAGTTAGATGCCACCACAGTCATTAACTGATTAATTTAAGATATTTTATTAAAATTCAAAACGTAACAAGAGCATTCTACTTACCATTTTCACTATGTCAGCATAAGCTGATTCAACAATGACTCCACGATTTGTTGAAACGTATTCAACTAGTTCATTCAGTGTTGCTCTCTTAATTTCTTTGCTTTTCAGGTCTGAAACAGAGTCCATGAAGTCAAAGAGTACACAACACTGTTGCAACTTCTGACAAAAAAGATCTTGCTGTTCATTGAAGGTGGCATCTATGAAAGAAAAAAAAAGAAACACAAAACCAGTAGAACACTTAAGTATGTAGAAGCAAAGTCAGGATTTCTAAGTCTATTTTGTTGACTAAAATTTGCATAGCTATATTTTTTTATTATGGGGAGTAGTATGCTCTATAGTCAGAAAATTAATAAGCAATATTATCAACACTGAAAATATCTGTTTAAGTATGTTAGACCGAAAGACCCACCACTCACAACCTGTGTTTCATACAAGAAATAACAAATAAATATATGGCAGGAAATGCATGTAGGGAAAAAACAGGTTCCTGAATTAACTTTATCCGAAATACACAGACATTAATAAGTACTAACTCTCCCTCACCAAAAGTCATATACAGAAGCAGTGCATCATACTAACCTTTCATTCATCCGATTTGTCTCATTCTGTTCCCTAATCCTTTATTATGTAACCTGCTTAAAAGCTGTAAAATCTGCTTTGAAGGAACCTTGTCTTTTTACCCCAATGCAAAATACTTCACATACTTCTGACATCATGTGATGAATGTTTCTCTTAAGAATCAACTCCAGTATTTCCAAAAGGATTAATCCTGAGTTTTCATGCTTTGGTCTAAATAATTTATTACAATCTTAGTCATGAAAGGTTTTCCAGCTTTTTTGGCCTATTAGGACAACATATTTGGCTATGACTTGGCATTTTCATTTTAGAGGGCAGTTTCTCTCTAAGCTGATAAGTAAAATTCATCCATTAGTACTTCACATTAGGTCTAAAAAAAGATGGATTAAGTACGGTACACCCCAAAAATTTGATACATCCTTAAAATATTGTAGCTGTTCAAAAGTTGCATGATCACAACAAAAGCAGCCATGGTTTTAACTAAGAAATTGGTTTAATATGCCTTTTGCTCTTGTTTTTAATTTTTTGTTTGCATTCTAATCCACTCCACCAACACAGCATCACCTTATCTATCAGTCAGTTGGGATTTCACTTCTTCTGGTGAAAATTTTTTATGGTTTTATTTCCAATTTTATCCGCAAATATAGAATGCTCTACCCCTGAAGAATTTAAGACCTGTCTTTAGCCAGAGTACTAATCAATCCCTTAGCTTCATTAATTCACTGCAGTATCGATATTAGCACTGCTGTTTCATCATAAGGAATTTATAAAGACAAGAAAAAGGCAACTGCCTTGCAACACTGAGTATTGAAAATCTTAAGTGTCACTTTAAAATTTGCACAAATCACAAAAACATCACAGGCTTTATTGTTTTAGGATTATTCTAATTAAACAAACTTTAAGTTTTTAAGTTTAACAACTCAAACACTCTTTGATAATGCCAGTTCCTCAAGTTTCTTACCAAAACACCTGCGAATTATTGTCTGGAACAACAACAGTCAACAGTGGTTTTAATATTCAGTAATTATCTGATAGAATTCTTTCATTTCCACAAGCAAAAAGTAATTGCTAAAATAGACTAAAACGCCTCCACTGTAATCCAACTGCTCGCTCTGCCCTGAAAGTTCAAACACCAGAATATTATATTGTATTCCCTTTCCCCATCTGACAGTTATGATCCTATTAACTGAGCATAACAACTTCAGTGAGCTTTTGAAAAAGCTAGCAATTAGTACTCCCTCATAAAGAGCAATTCATACTTTTGAATGTTAATTCTGCAATTTCAACCATTTTTCTTTTGAATAAGAATCTTGCAAGATGCTTCTTTCGCTCAGATAACTACAAAGACATGAATTGTTACACCCTGCAAAATAATGAACATCAGCTGTAAAAACATTTGTAAGTTACATAACATTTCAGCTCAGATCTTCTAATATCCTACAGCGGATTGCATGAGTAAGTACTGTATCATAGCAACAAGGCAATAACAGTGACATGCTGAGGATAAAATCCAAAATGTCTAATTTAAGGAACCAACATGGGGGGGGACAGCTTTTTTTTTTTTTTTTGACACTAGCCCCAAGCCGATAGCCAGACTCAAACAGGAGTCAAACTTACTTTTATTTTTCCTCACTACAAACTTAAATATAACCCCAGTTACAAAAGCCCAGCAGTGAGGTGCAGCTAATACAGTGTACTTGTTTAATGCTCAATAAAATGAAGTATCATTAACCAAAATTTACCTAGAAATTTCAAAAACGAGCAGACAGCATCTGAATACTCCTAATAGTGGTTAAAACAGACTAAAGACCTAAGGTTAAAAGCAAGTGACAGGAATTCAGACATAATAATCAAATCACTTATTACCTTCCCTAGAATATCAAAGAAATCCCTGCATTAGCCACCTTTAGTTAGACCTTAGAGTAACAGAGATCATCTCTCCTCTGCCAAGCATCACCAGTCCATTTCATTAGCAACCTGATCTCAACTAGATGTTTTCTCAAGTGAAAAACCTGCCTATTATCTGTTTTGTTACTCTCATTTAAAGCACAACCAAAGAAAGTATTTTCCTCTACGCATACATCCATCTTCCATACTTATATGAGGAATCATAAAATAAAGACATCTGCAAGAAATGAAAATCACATGCAACCATGGTAATAAATAAGGTAACAAGAAAGCCAGTTCTGTTATATCAGCACTACCTGTCTTCATGCACTCAATCCCTGCTTGACGTATAGCACATTTATCCCAGGAATGTTGTGAGAGGTAACACAGGAACCATCAAGTGACTTCAGAAAATTTTTTTGTTGGATAGCATTCTTAACTTTTTTAAGCCTTCTTTTCCAAGTATGATGGAAGCTAGACAACTCTACACCAATAGAGTTGTTTGTTCCAGTTCTATGCAACTGGAACATACTGCAATAGTTTGTTCCAGTTCTATGAATAAAATGAACTGTGCCACCATAATTGCATCAACACCAGAGCTTTTTGCTTTAGTAGTTAAACAACCTGTGGCAAGATTTTTAAATTAATTACATTTCAATTTAACATCTATCAAAATTTATACCATACATCTGAAGTTCAAGATAACTGCTTTTCTTCAAATACACTGTATACCATAAGGATCACAGAAGATAACATAGGTTCAAAGTAGACAGTGGATGCTTCAATAAAATAACCCTGTTGACAGGATGTATTGGGGAGGGGGGGGAGGATGGGAGGTGGAATTAAAAGAGAGAAGCCTGAATTCTCTTACCAGCCTGTCCCTGAATTGCTGCACATTGTTGGAAAAGACACTTCAGAAAAATACAGGAGGGAAGGAAACAAAACATGAGGAAGTCCAAAGCAGGAAAAAGAAAAAAAAAAAAAAAAGGAGCAAAGGCATTATGTGGAAAAGTGTCAAGACACATACATTAAACCACACCCCAAAAAATGGCCTACACACCATCTGATCGAGGTCATCAAAATGCAATTGCTTCAACGTTATTTTCTAGAGGCTGCTCAACAGAAGCATAACTTAGGAAATTCTTTAAATCCTTTGTTAACATTCTTTGAAAGCGCGTTTTTCAGTTGATCCGAGTTCCTTGGGAAGGTAGTAATGAGATTAAGAATTGGCATTCTGTGGCTGCCTAAAATCAGATATGATGGTAGAAAATCCTAAACACAAAAATTTCCAACCAATACCATAAAAATTATTGTAAATTATGACCCACAGTGGCTCTTCCTAAGGATACTCATTGCCTCTAGTCATTTCGATGATAGATGGTAAAATGTTTGTAACTGATGAAAACAGTTCTTTTTATCCTTGCAATTCATAATTCTGAAATTCTCAACAGACTCTTTCTACTATTTGCAAAAACCTGATCATTACAGACAATAGCCACAACAAAGGATAAAAGGATAACAAGTTGACTTGGAAGTTTTTCTTGAATAGAAGTTACTAAACATTAAAACTGCATGATTACACTGATTTGTCTCTAAAGTGAATGCTTTCAAATTTATAAGAGCATCACTCCAAGTCTAAGCACAGAATATTAGTTAAAAGATTTTTTTTTTTTTAGGGAGG